TTGTTGTTGTATTTTTTTTAGATGATGTATATATTTTTTGCGCAAAATAATTAGTTCAGTTTGTTTTTTATATATAAAAAATATATGTATGTTATAAGTATTGTAATTATTACTAAAATATTAAAGTAATATAAATAAGGAAAAAAATTAAAAGGCTCTGCCTACAAAAAAAAACTAAAAAATAAAATTATACAATTTACAAGGTTGAGTGGAGGATGGGAGAGGGGAATGGGGTAAAGTTTTTGAAGGTAAGAAAAAAAAGATGTTTGTTTTCGGGTCTTGACAAAAACCCAGGAAACAAAGACCTTTTTTGAATGGTAGTTTAGAAAAACTTTTTTGTTAAATTTCCAAAAAAAAATTTCAAATTTCAGAAATTTAAGTCAAGTTTTTCCATGTTGGAAAAAATAATAGTTTTACAATTCTTAATAAAAATGTTACAAAAAATAAATAATATAGGGTAGGGGGGAAACATAATTAATTTCAAAAATATCTCCAAAAAATATAAAATTTTTTACAAACAATAAAAAAATTTAAAAAAAAATAATTCATGAAAATTTAAAATTAATGGGATTTACAATTCATAATAATTTAAAGTTTGAGAAGAGGGAAAATAATGTCAAATTATTTTAGAAAAAATTCAAAATTTTGAAAAAATTATTTTAAAAAATTCAAATTTTTGCGAAAAAATTAATTTTAAAAAATTGAAATTTTTGTGAAAAAAATATTTTAAAAAATTCTAATTTTTCTGAAAAATTATTTTTAAAAAATTTAAATTTTTCTAAAAAAATTCAAAAAAAAAAATTTTTTTTTTGAAAAATATACGGAAAATTTTTTAAATATTTCACAAATTGTTTTGTTTTCGTATAAAGAATTGATTTGCAACTTCAATTCTTTTTTCATTGTTTGAAAAAATTTTAAGTTGTTTTGGGATATTTTGGGGAATTTTTTTTTTTTGTAAAATTCTTTAAAGAATTATTTAAAGGGGAGGGAGGAAAGGAAAGAAGGTAAGGAGGAGAGGAAAGTAAAGGGGGGTATGGAGGGGTATAGAAGGTATTTTGATAATTTACAATGTTTTGTTTTGTACTTCAAAAGGATTTGGATTGGGGGTGGTTTGAAAAATTGCCAAAACAATTTCAAATGCAAAAGGAAAATTTTCTGGGAATTTAGAAGTTTTTTTAAATAAAATTTGTAAATTCCAAAAAATGAGTTATTGTTTTCAGTTACAGATAAAAATTGTTAAAGAAATTTTTCTTAAGGAAAGTGTGGGTGGGTGTGTTCTTAAAGGGTCTGTTAATTACTTCGATTGCAAAAAAAAGAAGAAAAAAAGATTGGAATATTTTAACAATGTTGAGATCAATAGCCAACTTTTTTGTCTAATTTTGCAAATAATTAACAAATCCTTTAAAGGGGAGAGGGAAAAGAATTCACAAATGGGTTTTTGGTAGGGGGGTGATTTGGGGACCTTAATTTCTAACTTGTTCATATCATAACCTTAAAATATTTAAGGATAAATACCCTAAAAGGTAACTTATATATAAACCTAAAAAGAAACTTACAATTATTATGTATTATATAACTACAAAAATAATAGAACTTAGTTTATGGCATTTCTTGTTTTTTGTTTAGTGTAGTAGCAAAGGGTGACTTTCCAGGGGAAAAAACTAAAACTTTTTTCCTTGATGTTGATTTTTGGTCCAGGATTAATCCATTTTTGTTGCTTGGTTAAGAAGTAAAATAAATGACGATGTTGATGTTGTTGTTGAAATATGATTGCAATCAATTTGTGTGTTCCTTATAAAACTAAGAGCTGCTGCAGGATAATGGGGGTTAGATTTTTTTCTTATTGATCCTTAATGCTGGCGTGTTCTTAGCGAGAAATGCGCTGCTATGCTATTGGCATTGACAGCATGACTGACCGCTGATGAGGAGCCGGAGCTGGTGCGCATACGCTTGGCGGGGGATACTTTCTTGGGGGTCTGGGCCAAACGTTTGCGTTCCTTCATGTATTCTAAAAATAAAATAAATAGAGAGAATAGATTAGTAAAAATGCATTAAATGAGAAAAATAATTTTTGTAATTTGATCGTATGCTAAAATTAAGAAAAGGGAAAATTTGTCTACCTCCTGCTGTTTGAAATTTTCCAAGGATTAATTGGAAAATAGACCCTAGTTTTGTTTTCATCCCCAACTCAACCCAACCACCTAGGCGATTAGTTTTGTTCATCCCTTAGTAAAGTTCATTGCCTTGTCCTGTGATCCTTTTATTGCATCCCTTAATGCCTTAGCTGCTATCCTTGTTGTTGTTGTATTAGCAAATTTTTAAAACAAAGGTGCAGTAAGAAATACCCATGAAAGTGGCACGCGTTCGGCACAGGACGAAACTAAATGAGCCAAAGACAAAGAGACTCAAAAAAATCAATCTCTAATTTCTTAAACGCAGAAGAAAAGACAGACAATTCTGTGTTTTACTTTTGAAGGGGAAAATGTGAGAATTCAAAAATTTTAATTTTGAAATTATTTTCCATATTCAAAAATAATTCACAGATTTTTGTTCTATGTATGGAAATTTAAATCTATTTTAATGTGGAGCCAAACAATGTGGACAAATTTTGTCATTTTAGATTTCAAAATTATTTTCCACACAAAAAACAATTTGGTCCAATGTATCAATCTTCCTGAGATGTCAAAATTATTTTCAATTTTTAATTATAGAATCCTGCTACCCGATTGCTGCTTTTATTTGTGTTCTATCCCTACGATCTATCTTTGCAGGGCTGTCATTATTTTATTTCAAATTTCCATAATTTGATAAAGGGGGCTGTTTTTCCAAACATCTGTTATAATCGAAAAATTTTCATAGGAAAAGCTAGCCACCCCATTAAACATCTGTTCAAATTTCAGGATGAAAGATTTTCAAATCCAACAAGATCATTACCACAATATGAAAAATCATTCATCACGCACATCACAACTGGACAATGGGTAAAACCCTAGAGAGGGGTTGTTTTGGCAAACCACGCGAACCTTTTATAAAGCGTGCAGCGATACGGAAAAAAAGGGGAAGGTCGGCAAGGTAGCTACCTTACATTTTATGGGGGTTTATTTGAAACTCAACACAGCTGTGCTTGAAAAAATCACTTGTGATTTGCTTTACGATTTTTTTGTTTATTCCAGTCAAGGATAAAATAAATGATATTGAATAAAATCAACCCCTTTTGTATTCTGAGATCATGATTGAAGTCCATAAAAGGGATCATTATCTACTGCCATGGCAGACAAATATATGCCAAACCTTATAAAACGGAAATAGAAATAATGAAAGCTATTAAATCAGTAACCGCAAAACAAAAGCATACCTTGCAACGCCTACAACATGCATGCAGCAATGCAAGTTTTATTTGTTTTACTCCCCCAAAAAATTCTGTTGTTTTTGTTCGTGACCGTTACTAGGGCTTGGCTTGAAAACCCTCCCAAAAACGGTATGATATTGAGTTGTTTTATAGAGGGTGGAAATTAGAGTTCGGTATTGATCGTTCGTTATTGTTATGGGAAATGTATCGATTTCCCACACGGCACTTGTTTTTGGAGTGGCGAAATTACTTTATTTTACAATACGTTACTATTTTTCTCGTCGGTTGGCTGGCTAATTAAAGGAAATTGGTTTGGAGGAAATTGCGTGCAGCATTTCAAGGCTGATTGGGCACAGAGGAAAAGGTGTGGGAATTTTTGACATTTTAAATATAACAGTTCCATGTGAATAATTTTCAAAATTTGATTGATGAGAGAGAAAAGCTTGGGAATATTTTGCAATTAAATGTAGTGTCAGTAAGAAGTGTTGGCATATACCCTGAATTTTTGAACCCTGAATTCTTGAAATCTTGCTGATTTGATTCTACAATATATAAAATGTATATAAATCTACAATCTCAAATATTTAAAATAAATTTCATAATTACCTGTAATTTTAGGTTGTCTCTTGCGTAAATGTGTTTTGCGTGGCACAAAGACACTGGTCTCCGCGTTATTGGGTCCAGCAGGGACTTTGAATTCAACCATGGATTCATCTTGGCTATCATCGCAGGAGTCGGTATCTGTGGTCATCGAAGACTGTGACAAATTCAGTTGATTTTCACGTTCGGCACGCTCATCCATTAACATTTCCATTTGTGATTTGGGTGCAGGGGTTGGGCGGACATGAGCGGCACGTGTCAAGGTGAACATTTCAGGAGCATTTTGATTCTCTTGGGTGGAGACACGTTCCCAAATGTATTGTGAATTGGCGGACAAGGGTGAACCATTGCGGAAGTCGAAACCCCATTTACGGGATGCTCTTTCTTGGCTTTTTTCCAATTCCTCGTTGAAGATTCTAGAGGAAAAACGAAAAAATTATTAATAAAAATATAAAGCTGGAATTTTGTATTTTTTGGACTTACTTTGTGGTTTCAACGGGATTGGCAGGGCCAAAGAGATCCCTTTTAATGCGATTCAACTGGCGTCCACATGTCACATTGCTACGCATAGCCACTGGACTGCTGGAGATTTTGCAGATCATGGGATTCAATACACGGGCAGCAGACATTTTTGTGTTCTGTTTTGTTTTACTTTTATATCAAATTCAATTCAAAATTTCCAAAAAAATTGTTTTCCACAATTTTTTATTTTTGTTGCACTTATTTTTGTACGGCTTCTTCTACAGGCGAGTTGTTTTTTTATAATGTTTTTGCGTCTTTTCTTTTTTCTATTGTGGAACTGTCAAATTTTGGCGCCAAAATCACTGACAATTTCCCCAACGTACACTAACACACTCACGCAAATAAACACAACAAGTGACGCAAAGCTTTTTCTTTCTACTCCACCTTGCTGCGACGTTCGTACAGTCAAGCAATGCTCCAATTTGACAGACAGTGATGGTGCATTCACAGCAGACAAAGTGGCACAATAAATCGTGTCTAAGCAAGTTAATAGTTTTTTTAACTGTTTTTATTTAATTGTTCAATTATTTTTTCTTTAATGTTTCACTTTCCAAAATAATTGTTTATTATTTTTTTTAATAAATTTATTTATTTTTATCTTTTTTGAAAAGCTTTAGTTCTCTCTCACAATGGGATAGCTTTGCACTCTCACTGGTACTCTTTGAATGTTTCTTTTCACACAAAGTAAAAAATGTTACTGGCTGGTAATTTGTTGTTGATTTCCAAGGTTGTTGTTTTGTTTATATTTCCAAAAATATAAATTCGCTTTTTTTAATTTATTTGCAAAATATATATTTTGTAATATTACGTTTATTTTGTAAAATGTATTTTTTTTTATAAAATTGTCGAATTACTTTCAGCGTTTAGCGCAAGCAAATACTGTTGTTAACTCGACGAGTAGTGTCTCTCAACTGATTTAACAACGGCTCTCGGCATTCTTACTTGCCATCGCACGAAGTCAAAACTGGGATGAGAGCATAGCAACAAACAACAACAAAACACACAGTAAACAACAACAAAACAACACACAGCCACAGTACTCCCCTAATGAAAACAACACTCGGCCATTGTTCAGTCACGTAAACAATGCAGCGAGCAAGCAAACGAGCATGCACACAAGAGAGCCAGAGCCAAACAAACAACAACAAAAATAAACCCCCAACTAAATGCACAAACAACAAACTCAGCCAGTGAAGGCACAATGGGAGAGTGTCTGTTTTCATGGTGGAGTTTTATGTTCTCTCTCTCACTCTGGCTCTCTCGTGCTATATCTCTCCCCACACAATGGGTTTCATTTCGTAAACAAAACGAACAGTAATATTATTAACACAGCATATGACCAAATCGTTGTCGCTGCAGCCAGCAATGCAGCAACGTCTCTGCTTCTATACTAAGCCTTAAGAATAAATTACAGTGGGGAAGGTCACCGAAAAGTGTTTTAAATGATTTTGTTAAAGGTCAACTACAGCAGAACTTCAGTTAAAAAATTTGAAATGATTTTTTGATTTTTTGGATCAGAAAATTGGCATATTAATGAAGTTAATAGTGGTTAATGATTAAAATAATTAGCTATAAAATGTAAATAAAAGTAAACGACGATTGTTTCGTATTCTTGGGGGAAAAAGGTGGCAATCAATAGGGTCAAATGCAAGGAGAGCTGATATTATTTGAAATTTTCTTTTTAAATTCCAAACTGAAGATATTTGCAAAAATATTTATTTGGAAAATGTTTGTTGTAGAAAATTTAGATTTTTATTGGGATTTTTCCACTATGAGTTAATTAAAGAGTTATTATTTTTGGCATACAAATTTAGAAAATTGACTTATAAGCTTCAAGGAGTATAAAATTGGACTACATTAACTGAAATATGCCGCCAGAACTGACGATATTTTCAAAAATATCTATTGAAAATTTTTCGTAGTAGAAAAAATAGAGATTTTCAAGACAAATTCTTTTCAGTCCTAAGAAGTTTTTTGGTATAAAAATTTAGATACTTGGTTTATAAGCTCCAAGGTTATAAATTAAACACCCATTAACTGAAATATGCATGCTGAACTAAAGGTATTTGCAAAAATATGTATTCCGAAAGCCGGGGTTTTTATTAAAAGTCTTTCTTTTTCGGATAATCAGTCCTCCAATATGATCATTTTAAATAAGCAAATTTCGAAAAGCGGCATTTCAGCTTCTGGTAGAAGAAGAGTTGACATATATTAAAAACTAAGTAAAAATATAATCGACTGCGAGCTTTTTGTTAACAAAATAGTCCCCAATTGAACTATTCTGGTAAATTAATAAATTTATAAAATTCTGACTATTCTGAGGGTATAAAAATGTAATCGTCTGCCAATTTTTTGACTTAAAGAAAATCTTCAAATTATAGACTTGGGAAAAAGAAATTCGTAACAGAAGACTATTATCAAGGTATAATTTACGCACAAATGTCGATTTATAATAAAATATTTATTTAGTTAATTTTGTCCAAACTTTACTTTCAATATTATGAAAGTTTTAAGTTATGTCCACACAAGTTTACAATTTATTTAAAATATTGGATACATAATTTGAAACAACAGAAACAAATATTTTTTTCATACAAAAAATATTTATTTACATAATACGAAATTTACAGGACAAGATTATTATACACGTAAAATAAACATTTAAAAAATTCTGCAATGCAAGAAAAAGATGATAATTGCTTGGTGCCAAGTCCGGACTTTATGGCGGATGCATTAAAACTTCCCAACCAAGCTCCCGAAGTTTCTGCCGAGTCACTGTATATGTGTATGGCCTAGCGTTGTCCTGGTGAAACACAACACCTCTCCTGATGGCCAATTTTGGCCGTTTCTGGTCAAAAAATACATTTTACGATTTATTTGAGAATTGTTCGACATCAGGGAAACAATTATTGAAAAATAGTCTACCTAATACTGGTCACTATAACATTTCCTTCAAACACACAATGAAAGTCTTTTAAAGAAATATTGGTACTAGACCCACCTTTAAGTATACCGATAGTCTTATCTCGACTAACTGAGTCGATCTAGAAATGTGTGTTTAATTGGTGTGGCGCCCAAATATCGAGCTTCTTTTTTGAATCCAGCAAAAAAATACATTCAAGATTTATTTGAGGATTTTACGACATCAGGGAAACAATTATTGAAAAAATTATAGTCCTTAAAAGATGTCTGCCTAATACTGGTCACTAAAACATTTCCTGCAAACACATAATGAAAGTGTTTTAAAGAAATATTGGTCCTAGATCCACATTTAAGTATACCGATCGTCTTATCTCTCGACTAGCTGAGTCGATCTAGACATGTCCGTCTGTCCATTATAATTTGTAAACACGATACAGGCCACAGTTATGAACCAATCTTCACGAAATTTTACATGTAGGATGGGTTCTGACCAAAGAAGACCCCTATTGTTGTTGGTAAAGATCGATTAATATTTAGGAGATGAAATGCACCAAATACATAATTTTTGTCGGCTTTTCTGGTCGCTCCAGGGGCCGTAATTATGACCCAAACATCGCAAATGTTTACAAGGATAAGGAGATTGGCTGTGGAATAAGCATGCCTGGTTTGATAAAGATCGGTCAATATTTAGCGAGTCAAATGGACCCTGACTTTGGTGTGAAACATTTTTGGTAAAGATCGATTAATATTTAGGAAATGAAATGGACCAAATACTTAATTTTTGTCGGTTCTTCATCACAAATTTTTACAAGGATAAGGAGATTGGGCTAAAGAATAAGCATGCCTGGTTTGATAAAGATCGGTCAATATTTAGCGGGTCAAATGGACCCTGACTTTTGTGTGAAAAATAACAAAATTTGTAATTTGTATGGTGTATATATTTACTCCTGAAGGATATATTAGAAAGATTATCAAAAACACCGAGCTTATACTTTCTTATATCCGATAATTCCATATAAGAAAAAAAACGCATATAAGAAAGAAATCTCCGGCTTTTTTGAGTTTCTTATATCCGATATCTACTGCATATCCTAGAGGAGTGTTTGACCTTCAAATTGATACCAATTATATTACACATAAATATTTATAGGTGCTTACGTATTCAGATATTATTTAGTAAACCATTACCACACTGTAGGGCGAAAATAACACGTTTTTCGCTTCGAAATGTTTTTGTTTTTGTTTTTGAGTCTATAGGCTACAATTATAAGCCGAACATCACAACACAACCCACGGTGAAGGGATTATGGACAAGTAATTAGAACGATTTTACTGAATATTAGTAATATTCGGAAAAGATGTCAGTGTAAGGAAGAGGTGCTGTTGACCTCTAACCGGGCAAGAGGGTGTAACTATCACGAAATATTGCCCCAGGATCGAAACGAAAATACGCAGAAAGTTAGAGTTCCGTGGTATGCCCCGTTCGACTATACTGCTCCGGTCACTGGGTTTTTTATAACTCTATAATTTTAAAAATATTAAATTACGGACCCCAATTTCATTCGAATAAAATTCCTTTACAAATTTAATTGGTTGCTGACAAAGAATTTGAAAAACTTATTTTAATATTTTTTATATACATATATATTCATAGAATAATATTATTTCTTGAAATTTCAGCTGAAAACAGTATGAATATGGCTAAAAAAAGTTGCAATCACCAATGTCCTTTTCCAATTGGAATTGTCCTTTGCAGAAATACTCCTTAATTGTTATATATACTTTACAAAGAATTCGTATTTTTCCAATTGGAAAAATTTATATTGATTAAATAATCATTTTAAATACTAAAAATAAATATTTCTGTAAGAAAATAATTAAATATTTATTCATTTTTTAATTTTAAATTTTCCGTCTCAACTTTCTGCATTTACCCCACTGTGTCAATTGAAAAAGCTTCCATGCCATTTCTCTGCCAAATTACTGACGTTGTCGTCGGCAGCATTTTTCAACGTATAGAAAAAAATAACAACAATTTAGAATAGAACATATTTCGTACTATTTTTATTTTAAAAATAAATTTGTTCTTATTTATGTTGTGTTGTTTTTCATCTAGTTTTTCCTCTGTTGTTTTTCTTGCCTCTTGCGTCAATGCGTAGCTCACACAACGCACACATACACACACATACGAACGTACAAATTCTG